TAAATTAAGAGTCTAGAGGAATAAATGCACCAATGAAATAAATTATGGTCAAAAATCGCAATTAAAAAAAAAATAAATAGAGTAATAAAAGATTAAAGTGGCACATTAAAATAAATCAGGATAAATAAGTACTAGGATTTTATTTAGGATTGAAATGACAGGCATTTTTTACAGAGTCCGATTTTTAAACATTTTTACTTATTCCTAATTAGGAAGTGAACTCAAGTTTTGCACACATATGTATTTTGCCAGTAGGCAGGTTGAGTTCGTAAAAAATAGAAAATGTAAAAATTATGGCATTGAACTTTGTTGCAGTTTTTTTCTCACCCTGTATATAATGATACATCCCGATATTCGATATTTTAATGATTTTATAAAAATTATTAACCGGAATTGTTTTAAATTTCATAGTTGAACTTCATAATGGGTACTACAACGTATGAATATCTGTGCATGTCCACATCTTCCTATAGTCCCTATATAACGGTACCTGTCAATATTCGGTATTTTTATAATTTTAAGGACAATTTTAGACCGGAAACTTTTCAAATTTTGACCGGAAATTTTTTTTGAGCTCGTAATGTGTACTACAACCTATAACAAAAAATCGCGTATGCAGGTCCTCGACTTCGAGGCCTCCCTATGTTCGGTATTTTGATACTTTTAGCGATATTTTTACCGGAATTGAATCAAATTTCATATTTAATGTTCGAAATAGGTACTACAGCCTATGACAAAAAATTACGTAGGCAGGTTCACGTCTTCGTATAGTCCGCATGTAAAGATTTTCATTTGACAGGTGTTTTTCTGAGGATTTTTTTTTTTTTTTTTTTTGAAAATGTTCAAGTTTCTTCAAAATGGTCTTCGGTCCATTCTTCGTACAGGCGCCACGTCTTCATATAGCCCCCATGTAAAGGTTTTCATTTGAGAGGTATTTTTTCTAAGGATTTTTTTTTTTTTTTTTGAAATTTTTAAATTTCTTCAAAATGGTGGAGGGTATTAAACGTTCGGTTTGGCCTTTTTTACGTGTTAATATATTTAAGAATATTTTATTTTTTTCTGCAATACCTTTTCCCGTTACATTTTTTGCTTTGCCAATCACAAGTTGCCATCTCTGCTTGAAAACTGAAAAGCGTTTACAGTTTTTGTTTACAAACAAACTTGAATGTTTCAACCATGAACTTGACTTTGCACAGCACATGAAATCAAAACAGAGTTAAGAATAAACATTGAAGTAACGTAAAACAAAAAATAAATAAAAAATGATGTGGGAAAAATAAAAAAGAGTCATGACACAATGAAATATGTATTGAAATTGGGTTAAGAAAATTTTGAAGTTATGGATTGTAAAAAAACAATAAATTCTTATAAATGTCTTATCCCAAAAAATATTTTTAATTTTTGTTTTTTTTTTTCTAATATTTTTAATTTTTGTTTTTTTCTACTTCTGATTTGTTGCAGTAAAATTTATTTATTTTTTTTTTTTTTTGTGAATAATGTCGAAAATTATTTTAAATGTACACATTTGATCATATGGGCATAGCTTGTACTTATTCGAAGCATTGAGTGAACTTATTTGAAAATTGTGTCTATTCTCACAATATAAATAAAATGTATATCTACCAAACTGCCCAAATCGCAGTAAAGTGGTTTTTAATAATTGACGCATAAAACATAATATTTGAGAATTTTTTCTGCATGACAAGAACATAAATTTGTTCCTATCCAATGTTCGCTTATCATATATTGCGATGAATTAATGCTCAACCTCAACTATTTATTACAAAAACGCTCTAATCTCAATTAATCACCTCACACGATCATCAAAGCAATGGGACCATCCCAACGACCGGTTATTGTAATATCTCAAAATTATTTCCCATAAAAACTCTAAAAGAAGAATTTGACTATTCTTATCAAAAAATCAGGTTTAGCTAAAAAACCGCATATTACGAGAATTTCTTGGGTGTTTTGGCACGTGGTTGGGTCGTATGTTTATTTTAAGTTATGCTTATTTGAAATACATAAATTTGCGTTTTTTTTTATAGCCAACAACACATTCAGTTTGTTTGAAGAAATTATGCGTGTTTTTTTAATTTATTTGAAGGGTCAATAGAATTTAAAGACGAATCTGATATGTTTTAATGGGAGATTGTTTGAAATTTTTATTCTTTTGTATAAACATACCTCTCTGTGGTTATCTGAAAGCATATTCTGTGGGGAATACCACCTATTTTACATTGACTTTTTGCGTTTTTTGTTTATTGTGGGAAAATATAAAATTTCTTATATAGTTTCAATGTAGACCTCAGTTTTATAAGGATATTACGACAAAGACATATAAGTATAAAGATGGGACAAGACAGAATAAAAATACCCTGCAAGAATACCTCTGTTGTAATATGCACATTTTTGGAAAGGTCTATGGAATAGAATCTTGAAACCACAATTTTGGATTTTTCCAACTTTTATTTGTCATTCGTTTCTGTAGTTGTGGTTTTTATATTAACATGCCTCTTTCATAAGCTGTTACTTTATATATTGTAGACCCAAACCATTTGGTCGAAATGCATTTTGTCTAGTCTAAGAACTAATGGGCATCAACGCAGCCCCGCAAAAAAAAAAAAAAAACTCATTACCAAATAATGGGTTTATCAAATAAATGTTACAACCATGGTTGGGTGATGTGTGTCACCAAGCTCTTGGTATTATCTACTTTTTTGCAGAGATTCAAGCCAACGTCTTTAGATTTTGTATTTCGGACGTGGTCACTCTGGGCCATTATTGCTCATTACTTAGCAAGATATGGGTAACTTATACAAACACATACCTCCAAATTGAGAAAGAAAATCAGATTACTTTTACCTTACCAAATAATGAGTTATGAGGACACCAAGTGTCCGACTACAAAGCCGCATCACGGCCTTCACAAAAATCAGAAGTAATACTCGGAGCGATTACCGACAATCAAACAAGCCATTAAAATACCAATTTATTTGGCGAAACATTAGCTAAGTTTATGGAATGTCAACCCAGCGAACATTTTATACCGAATTCGGTTCGCATCTCTATAGCGATCGAATTTCGAGAGTAAATTTAGAAAAATCGGAAAATTTCTTAAAAAAAATAATAAAATATTTATGAATCCAGGAAAAAATTAAATTCAGAGCACTCGACGCTCAAACAAGCCATGAAAATAAAATTTTTTTTAGAAACTTTGGTATGTGGTGTGTCAACCCAGCATTTTATTCCGAATGCGGTCGGCATCTCTGCTGAAATTTTCAATTCTAATTCCGAATTCCTTCCGATTTTGGGAAAAAACGTTGTATGGAAGTAGTCACTTAAATCGGAAAGTTTTTCCAAATCAATCCAGTTTTTAGAAAAAATTTATAGAAATCGAAAAATTTCTAAAAAAAATAATTAGAAATCTAGGAAAAAATCTAAAATCAGAGAACTCGACGCTCAAACAAGCCATGAAAATCTCAATATCTTTTCGTAAAATTGGCTGAGTATATGATATGTCAGCCAGTTTATATTTTACTACGAATTCGGTAATATTTTCGAAAATTTTCTAAATCCATCCAATTTCTAGAAGAAATGTAGATTAATCGAAAAATGTCAAAAAAAAAAATAATTAGAAATCCAGGAAAAATCTTAAATCAGAGCAAATCAAACTTTAGCTGGAAACTAGCGATCAAAACCTCCGTCGGAAAACAAAAAAAATTATAATTTTTTGAAATTGAGCACGAGTCAAACGCTAGTGTTCTTCATATAGAACAAATGCTTTCTTCAGCTCAATTATTAACTCTGGGCGATAGGTTGGAAACTACTCACTTTCAATAACATTCCCATGTTAAAAAGTGGGCGAGTAGGCGTTTTGAAAGTAGGTACTAAAGACAACATGAAAATAAAGTCAATATTTTATATTGAGATTTTTTGCCAGTTTACAGTTTATTCGTTTGAAAACTATTTGTTAAAATTTTAAAAGATTTAAAACCGGACAGTAACTTTGGATAGAATGCTGTTCTAAAACGTTGGCTCATATTGAAAGTTTTTAGATAATTGATATTTTAGCCCATGAGATTTCGAAATTTTAAGCTAATTTTTTTTAGAGAGTATTTCAAAACCTTTAAAATACTCAAATTCGTCAGAAGAGAGGCTCTTCAAGAGATGCGGCTTTTTATTGAAAATTTGTTTGCAAAACCATAAAAATTGTATGTGTTTATTTCTCTTTCGAGACGACCTTAATGATCTGAAATTTGCAGTGAACTGGAAAGCCACTATCATACACTCACCGCTATGCGACGCGTTTCACCGTTGGTTAAGCGGCTCATCAGGCATATTTGGTGTGGATGATGGCTTACAAGGGTCGTTCTCAAAAAAGTAGTATTTATATCGAACTTATTACGATCAAGTATATGCGAATTAAACACCAGAAACCCTCCAAGTTCGACTCACGTTCTATTAGCAAATCTTTTTCACATCAAAGTATTTTTTCATATTTTAAATAATTTCAACCTCGACTCTAACTTAATCCGAAAATATTCAATTTTGAAATTACAATGTTTTCTTTTATCAAATTTTTTTATCAAATTTTTAGTGTTTTTACAACAAAGTCGCAATAACGAATACTAAGACCCCCTGGGTCCACATTTTTCTACTTTTCTATAGCAAAAATCTATTTTATATTTAGGAATTTTTCGTATTGAAATTTACAAATTTCATAACTAAAACAATGAACTAAAAACAAAATAGAATGAAACTATTTAAACACAACAAGTCCAATTCACACTTAGAAGATAGTTGCGGTTTTGTTTGGTTTTCCTAAAATGTCACGTTATATTGTTTTGAAAAAATTGAAAAAATATATGTTTGTATAACGAGGTCGATCATGCTTTGCAATGGAACTTTTTTTGTTCTACTTTTGCATGTTTTTCGCCCCAGCGGAATTCCCAGTGGCACTAATTAATATTTTATTATTTTCGTGTTCTTTCACTTACATTTTGGTGATCGGGCACTTTTTGTACTGCTTCGCTCATTGAAAAATGAATTTAAAATGCCGGAAGCATTGACGGAGCGCCTAGCTCTAAGACTTTTGCGTTTTTCGCCTGTAGCCAGAACATTGTCAACATGGTGATGCTGATTGTTCGACACTGCATCCACATCTTCAGCATTGACGGCACTGTAGCGCCGAGCCAAATATTTTGCAAACTCTTTCATTTTTTTAACATAAAAATACGCACTTCTTTACACAATGTCCAGAAGGAATTCTTTCTACTTCTTATGATTTTAACAAAAAATTCAATTATTTACTTATTTTTGTTAATTTTTTTTTCTTTTGCTAAAAAACGCGTCTCGGAAACGTTTTCAATTCTTGAAGAAATTCTTTATTGCTACTTTTCTTTTTTCTTCTTCTTCTTCTTCTTCTTAAACTATTTATTTATTTATTTGCTTTGAGAGATATTGTGTTAACGCTTTTAGCTGGATTTTAGAACGCTTGATTTCTTTTTCTTATTTTTTATTTATTTGCTTTTCTTATAATAACAATTCAATTCAATTTTATTTATATTTATATTTCAATTTTTTCTGATATTTGAATTCAACCGTTATTTCGTCTGTTCGCTAGCGTTGCTCGCTAATGAATGAACCCCTAGAAGTAACCCCAACTGACCAAGTAAGATTTTTATTCATCTTTATCTTAAACTTGAAGTCAGACTTCATGAGACGCCAACTGCGGCAGCGAAGCATTTCTCACACACAAACACGCACACACTCACACTCAGACTCAGTTTAGTTCAACAGCAACAACGTAACGACAAGTGGTGGACCCCATTCACACAAAACCAACGAACGACCGACCACAAGCAGAGAACACATTCACCAACACACGCAAAGTTAGATAATTTTTATACCCTCAGCCATATGGCTACAGAGGGTATATATCATTTGATACGGTCAAAACGTGCCTAGTCGAAATAACGGTTTTAGACCCTAGGTCTCTTTGGACCAAATCCGTTTCAGAACATTTGGAGTCGATCTACCGATGTCCGTCCGTCCGTCCGTCCGTCCGTCTGTCTGTCTGTCTGGCTGGCTGGTGCGCACGATAACTCTTGAAGGGAGTATCCGATTTGGTCCAAACTTGATACATCGTAATATTTTTGTCAAACTTAGATCGAGTTCGGAGATGGGCAATATCGGTCCACTCCTTCTGGTACCTCTCCCACAAAAGGTCGAAATTTTCAAAAAATTTATTTTTTGCACAGAAAGAGAAGCGATAAACCGATTTTGCCCCAACTTTGCAAATCTTAATATTTGCCTCAGTGTTAGGTCAAGTGTGAAAATGGACAATATCGGTCCACTCCATCAAGTACCTCCCCCACAAATGGTCAAAATTTTGAATAATTACAACTCTCATAATATGTGATGTAAGAGTCCGATTGTCTTCAAATTTCACACATCCCAATAATTTTATTAGCGTAATATCTGGTGTGAAGATGGAATACATCGGTCCACTCCTTCTGTTACCTCCCCCACAAAAGGTCGAAATTTTCCAAAAAAAAAAAAGTATATATATTTTCTGCACAGAAAGAGAAAGGATGATCCGATTTTGCCCCATCTTTGCAAATCCTAATATTTGTAACAGCGCAAGGTCAGGTGCAAAAATGGACAATATCGGATCACTCCATCAAGTACCTCCCCCACAAAAGGCCGAATTTTGGAAAAAATTTATTTTCTGCACAGAAAAGCGCAAGGTCAGGTGCGAAAATGGACTATATCGGTCCACTCCATCAAGTACCTCCACCACAAAGGGTCAAAATTTTGAATAATTATAACTCATATAAAATGTGATGTAAGGAACCAAACGTCTTAAAATTCCACACACCCCAATATTTCTATAAACCTAAGATCTGGTGTTAACATGGAATATATCGGTCCACTCCTTCTGGTACCTCCCCCACAAAGTGTCAACATTTTGAATACCCATGTGGCTCATAAAACGCCAAATTAACATCCGATTCCATTTAGACTTGGCACATCTGAATATTTCTATCAACACAAGATCTGTTATAAAGATGGTATAGATCGAACCATTTCTTCTGGTACCCCCACATACATAGGGTTCAAGATTTAAAAAAAAACGCTCAGATAAAGCGAAATAAGCATCTCTGCAAATTTCAAACATACAAAATTTTTGCTAACACAAGATTTGTATATATCTTCGAAGCCCTTCTGGCACCATAGTGTCACAATTTTCAATAATTTTATCTGTTTTTATGATTTGGCATAAAATACGAAATGGACAATATTGACCCATTTTTTCGGAACCTACTGCATAGAGGGTCAAACGTTTGAATAATCGTAATACTAGCCAAAATATATTTAAATAATCTAACGTAGGCTGAGGGTATATATCTGTCGGCAATACCGACTGATACTTTTTAACTTGTTATTTTTTCAGAATCACAAGTGATTCTTGAAGCGGCAACATCTTCCCACTTGACGCACATGTCTATAGAAGAAGAACGCACTCTGCGGCAGAAAGTCTAGACAAGTGCAACGAAAATACCGGATATCGAATATGAGTCATTCCATTGGCCAATGGAAGATTTGTGACTTGATTTGCACTGCGTCGATATAAACCCCGTTTAAAGTAATTTGTTATGGAATATTTATAAAAAATATATATTTGTAATTAATTGAAGTTACAAAAACAAGGTATTCCCTGGAAAATGACGTAGGAGATATAAATCAAATAAATTTGCACTCGTTTTGTGGGAATATAAATCAAATTGCAATGATTTAATTTAATTACTTGTTTTTTGAAAACAAAATATAGAATTTTATGGTGTTTTGAAAATTTTACGATTTTTTAAATACATTGCATCCAAATAAAAGATTTATAAAGGGTATCTTATAAAGTACATTACGAACCAACATCCCAACCATATCACAAATTTGCTCATTTTCGCTCGGGAGCGAAACTTTCTCGCAGGAAGGATTGCTTGAAGAGTGGGAGTTTTAACGGAGTCTACTTTTAACTCTTCTGTTTCGTGTGGCAGCGCTCTCGAGTCATTCGTATTTTAAAGACAAGTAAAATAGTATCAGTCGGGTTTGCCGACAGATGTATGCCCCTAGCCTTGAGTTATCATTATTCCAACTGTTAACCCTTTATGACATGGTTAAAATAAATTTTTAGATATACTAAATTGTAAGAATCACCGACTTTAAAATTGTGACTCTTTGTGGGTTAGGTACGAGAAGGGGTTCCCTGATATACATCATCTTCACAACAGACCCTGCGTTACAAAAAATATTTGTATGTTTGAAATTTGAAGAGAGTTGGATGCTTATTTCTCTTTATTGGAGCGTATTGTTTTTCAAAATCTTCAACCCTATATGGGGGAGGTACCAGAAGAAATGGCTCGATATTTAAAGTAGATCTTGTGTTGATGGAAATATTGAGATGTACCAAGTCTGAATGGAATCGAGCCATATATTCCAGAAGGAGCGGACCGATATATTCCATCTTAACAACAGATCTTGTGTTAGTAGAAATCATGGGATATGTGAAATATAAAGAGAACTGGATGTTCATTTCGGATTTTATGATCGTGTTTGTTATTCAAAACTTTGACCCTTTGTGGGGGAGGTACCAGAAGGAATGGTACGATCTCTGGCATCTTTATAACACATCTTGTGTGGATGGAAATATTGAGATGCACCAAGTCTGAATGGCATCAGATGTTAATTTCCCGTTTTATAAGCTTCATGGATATTCAAAATTTTTACCCTTTGTGGGGGAGGTACCAGAAGGGGTGAACCCATATATTTCATCTTCAATCCAGACCTTAGGTAAATAAAAATATTGTGATGTGTGACATTATAAGACAATCAGACTCTTATGACTTATTTTATTAGAGTTGTAATTCTTCAAAATTTTGACACTTTGACTTCCCCCACCGGTATTTTCCATTTTCGCACCTGACCTAGCATTGATCTAAATATTAGGGTTTGCTTAGTTGGAGCAAAATCGGATTATCGTTTGTACTTCTGTGCAGTAAATTATTTGCTTTAAAAATGTTAACATTTTGTGGGGGACGTACCATAAGGAGTGGACCGATATTGCCATCTCCGAACTCGATCTAAGTTTGACAATAGTAGTACGATGTACTAAGTTTGGATCAAATCGGATACTCCCTTCGAGAGTTATCGTGTGCACCAGCCACATATACGGGCGGACGGACACCGCTTGATCGACTCCAAAAGTCCTGAAACGGATTTGGTCCAAAGAGACCTGAAAGTGAAAATGAGTGGAAAACTTTTTAAACCCTACACCACATAGTGGTAAGGGTATTATGTCTTTGTGCATTTGTTTGTAACATGGAGAAGGAAGCGAGATGGACCCATAGTTACTTTTGAGGATCTTCATAGAATCAATTTCTGAGTCGATTTATGCATGTCCGTCCATGTATTCTTGTGAACAAAATGCAGGTCGCATTTATTATCCTATTGAGATAAAATTTTGCAAACAATATTTGTTTGGCCCAGGGACGTACTTTTTGGTGATAATCGGATCAGGTTTAGATATAGCTCCCATATATCTTCAATGGGAGCTTCACTCACATGCGTAATATGCACTTCAGAAGAATGATATTTGGTACCAGATATCTCATAGAGCTCGGAAATACCTCTGCCAAAATTTTGTCCAGATCGGTTCAGATTCGGATATAGGTCCCATCCGGGCCTTCAACCAATTTCGGGTTAATTTTGCACCAAATGGCTAATATGAGTCCAAATGACCTGTATTTCGATACATCCCACCGAATGTAGTCTATAAGTAAATACATCAATTTTTTGGAAATTGGTTCAGATATAGCAATATCACCCATATATATGTCCCACACATGCGTAATATGCACTTCAGAAGAATGATATTTGGCATCAGATTCTGCTCGAAAATTCCTCTGTTCAATTTTATCGAGATCGGTTTAAATTAGGATATAGCACCCATACATAGCTTTATCCGATATAAGGTTTATTGTACACCAAGTGGCTAATATCAGCCCCAATGGACTGAATATTGGCAACTACGACTGAAATCATCCTATAAACCAGTACTTCAAATTTAATGTAAATCGGTTCAGATATAGCCATAGCTCCCATCCATATGTTTTATCCGATTTGGAGTTTAAAGTCCCTCACAAGCGTAATATGCATTCCACAACAATGATCTTTGGTACCAGATATCAGATACAGTTCTGACGATGCAATTCCTAAAACCTAATTGCGAGCTTGTAATGACACCAAATATTTCCTCTTTGAAGACTCCGATTTTTGTCCTACCTATTAATTGTGTTTTAACTTTTTTCAGAGAACAATTACCGAATGGAATCATATAGTAAACATATGTTCCGCAAAACTATTGCATCAACTGTAGCATTTTTTAAGTGGCATTATTTAAAGCAATTCGTAAATTATAAATCAATTAAAAAATTATCGCCGGCTGATAAATCAATTTGTTATTAATTTTTTCTAATTGTTATTTTATTACTAATGATAATTTGTTAAAAAATCCGAGTTAGATAGTAAATCGATTTACTGAAAATTCCAGCAATGATATAATATTGAAGGCAATGACTGACATTTTTTCTAGAATGAAATGGGGTATTGAAATAAAATGGAAAATGTAAGAAGCTAAGATTTTTTTAAGAAAAAAAAAGGATTTCATAATACCTTATCGGAGAATAGACGAATTGATTATTAGGACAGAACACATATTAAATCCTTATCTCGCTATAACCCGGTTGCATCAGTAAATATTTAATAACTTCCCCATGTAATTAGGCGAAGACCAAACTTTC